AAAAGACAGAAAGACAGAAAGATAGAAAGACAGAAAGATAGAAAGACAGAAAGATAGAAAGATAGAAAGACAGAAAGACAGAAAGACAGAAAGATAGAAAGATAGAAAGACAGAAAGACAGAAAGATAGAAAGACAGAAAGACAGAAAGATAGAAAGACAGAAAGACAGAAAAACAGGGATACTCCACAACAATGTCTCCCCACTCAGGAACGACTTCAGGTCTCCCGCGTGCAACAGGAAAAACAAGACAATGAATAGGCCTGGGAACATATACAGGTCACAGGAAAAACAAGACAATGAATAGGCCTTGGGAAGATATACAGGTCACAGGAGAAACAAGACAATGAATAGGCCTTGGAACATATACAGGTCACAGGAGAAACAAGACAATGAATAGGCTTTGGGAACATATACAGGTCCTTCATTCTCTCCAGAAGACGTGAAACCCACATTGTGTAGAATGAGAGTTATTTCTCAGATTTTACTTGTTTCGATTTTGCCAAAACTTGACGGAGGACAGTAAAGTTGGGACACACACAAACCTTGGAGGAATCATATCGCTGCAGCAGCGCGGTGAGGCGAGCCAGGTTGACACGCGTGTCCTCCTCACAGACACACACCCAGCTGTAGGGACGACCTTTGTACTTGTCCGTCAGTCTGAAAGAAAAAACACAAATAACTCAGCCATCGCCAACTTTGTCAGCAGATGTACGAGTAGTATGATACAGCCATGCTAGAATGTTTCGTTTGTCAATTTATGTAAATGTATGTAGTTTGACAATTTTTCACCGTTCTGCACTTACTATATCAACGTTTCTGTCAAGTCTAAACATAAAGAGTTTGAGAAACCTACTAAAATACCCTAAGTTTGGTCACTTCTGACGCCACTGTAAACCTGACCAGACAGATAGTAGCAGGGTGGTTGTAGGAGAGGAGATGAGAGGAGGGGAGATGAGATGAGACGAGACGAGATGAGAGGAGACGGGATGAGATGAGACAAGATGAGACGAGATGAGATGAGAGGAGATGAGATGTGAAGAGAGGGGATGAGAGGTTTTACAGCGCTCGTAACTGCATAAACTCGTATGAGCGCCAAGGGGTGGATGTCAACAGAGAAATCCGTACAGGGAATCAGGCTTACTCTGCTCACCTCTCTAGCTTCAACAGCACAAAGTCTGCTTTGACTATCAAGTCCCCCCGGAAATAGCGGGTCACAAGAGAGTGACAAACATACAAAAGAAGTAGAGGAAAATGACCATAGTAAGGATTAGGAAAGAAAAAGCAGCAGTTCCCTGTTGTAGTTCAGGCACAGTTATGAGCATGACATTGTTGGACTAGCCCATTTACAATTCTACTGTGCTTGAACGAGAAACATCCCCCCTTTGAGAAAGGCCTAAAGACACTTCCGTCAGTGGCACCGCCCCGGGGGTTGAGATGAGACGAGATGAGATGAGATGAGATGAGGGGAGATGAGGGGAGATGAGGGGAGACTTATGTAAAGTACGACTGATCCTCCGTTAGGGCATGTAAAGAATAAATGTGAGGACAAAGTAATCTCCCTTACTCTTCTATGAGGGGAAGAGGACACACAAGGACAAAGTAATCTCCCTTACTCTTCTATGAGGGGAAGAGGACACACAAGGACAAAGTAATCTCCCTTACTCTTCTATGAGCGGGATGAGGACACACAAGGACAAAGTAATCTCCCTTACTCTTCTATGAGCGGGATGAGGACACACAAGGACAAAGTAATCTCCCTTACTCTTCTATGAGCGG